CTTCCTGATCCCTGGGCCTCACAGCTGGCAGCTGTGGAGGAGCCATGGAGCTGGACCAGCCCATGGTGCTGGCCTGCCTCTCCCCATCGGGCACCGGCCTGCCTCACCCACTCTGCTTCACCACCCATGCCACTGGCCCTCGGCCCTTGCAGCCTCTGTGGCTTTGTCCGGATGGATGTCCGCCCTGAAGACATCCCAATTAGCATATTACCCTTTTATTAGTATAGATGTATATTTGTAACGCTTATGCACTGTGTGTTTTATACTAGGGAATGAAGCTCAGAAAATACTATTATATGTAGCACTTTACTATTGATATCACTGTAATTACTAGTTATTAATAATATAAAAGGAGCAAGGAGGAAAGAATGCAACAAAAGGAATGTAGATGAATACCCAGTAACGTTGGGGGGACTAGGGAAGGTACTTGACAGTTAATCAAACCTGGGGACACAGGTGGTTGGCCAAAATGTGTGTGGATACTGCCAAGTTTGCAAAACTTCAGGAATACCTAATCCCCTGAACAAAGGAACTCTTGCTCTTGTTGCTCTTGTTGTGCTTGAACCTTGGCTTGTGGGTTCTTCTGCTCCCACTTCTTCGCATTCACCCCTTTGGCCCATAGCCATGTGAACCCCTGACACAATGGACTAATGGACTGCAGTGGGGAAACAAAAGCTAAACCAGCCGGACACTGGACTGGACCAGGTTTCAACATGCAAGGAAACTCTGGACAAAGGCTCTGATTATAGGTCTATTGAGGCCCCAGATAAACTTCTTCTATGGCTGGACTAACGGAAATAAGATTTTGGAAACCCAGGGGTATAATTCCATGAAAATAAAGCTTTCTACTATTATATGTCATCTTCCTATAGGGTCCTCCTAAAATTCTTATTCCAGCGTTACCCCAATAACCCCATACCCCACATGCAACCAGGACAGATGAGCTCCTCTCCTATCCTGTAACATCACTACATTGGATGGCCATACATAAATGATTTTCCTGGAAAATAGAGGAATAAATGGAAGGAACCAATGATATCTTCCCCCAATAGGATATTATTTGCCAGCACTAAATTGAGGACGAGTTTCCTTATTTCATGGCCATGTTACTAATTTCCTACTTTCTTTCCCATTTTTCTTCCCTTATAAAGACACCCAAACTACTAGAGTTGAGATGCAACATTTATTTCATCTTCAATGAGGTGATTTAGACAAGTTTATTTAGACAAATGGGATGTACATTATGTTATGTTGTACATGTGTGGTTTTAAATTTACATAAATGGTATTGTGTGTATTTCATTCTGTTCTTTTTCACACATTCTTATGTTTTAAATAGCTATGCATAGATTCAGTTAATCACTTCTGACTCTTAGAAATCACTCCCTACATCGATTATTCAAGGATACACCCATCATGTACACACACATATATTGATACATTTTATATTTTTAAATCTCTAATCCTTTATGGATATTCACTTAATCTGCTCTTTTCCACTAACATTAAAAATCTTCACTAAATATGTATGTGGCCCTGGCTTGGTTCCCATTTGGTTAGAGCATTGTCCAGATACTCTAAGGTTGCAGGTTCAAGCTCTGTTCAAGGCACATACAAGAAGCAACCAATGAATGCATAAATAAATGGAGTAACTAATTGATGCTTCTCTCTCTCTCCCTTCCATTCTCTCTCTAAAACCAATCTATTTAAAAAATTAAAAGTATGTGTGTGCATTCCTCATTGAGAAATTATGCAAAAGTTTTGTTTGTTTTTAAATATCCAGGAATAAGTTGCTTCATTTTACTAAGGACTAACAAACTGAAGTGAGTATACCAGTTTATACCCCACCCCTCAGCAGAGGAATACTTCACCAATACTTGATATAATCTTATATTATTTGTTTTACCATTTTGACTGAAAATAGCTATCTTTTTTATTTCATTTACATGTGTTTAATAATTGGTGATTGTTTAGATATTGATCTTCCTTTTCTTGAATTGCCTTTTACTATCTTTCACTCCATTTTCTATTGGTTTCTTTATCTTAGAGCACATGTGTCAAACACAAGGCCCGCGGGCCAAATCCGTCCCGCCAGGCCTTGCAATGTGGCCCGCACCGCGCTGTCATCACTGCACTCCGCTGCGTTTCCATCACAATGACAGTTTATGACTGTTCAGTAAACCATTCGGCCCGTGATTTAGGCTGGATTTTAGATTTTGGCCCCTTCTCTGATTGAGTTCGACACCCCTATCTTAGAGTATGTGTGTGTGTGTGTGTGTGTGTGTGTGTATAAAACCCTTCCCCTGTATATTTCAGACTAGTAGTTTCCAACAGAATATGCAGTTCATATATTTGTTGTGGAGGCAGGAGGCAGGGAGGTCCAAAGACTCATTCAGGAGATTCACAGGTCAACACTGTTTTCATAAGAATTCTGAGAGTTTCTTTGCCATTTTTATTATATTAACATTTGCACCAATGCCATAAAATAAAGGTTAGTAAAACTGTGGGTATCTAAGCACAAATCAAGACTATAGCACAAAACTGTATTAGTAGTTATGTATTACTTACCATCACATGCATGTTATAGTACAAAAAAAATCTAGTTTATTTAAGAATGTCCTTGATGAAGCACTAATGATTATTGCTTCTCTTAAATGCCAACTCTCACTGTATATTTAATATTCAGCATGATAAAATGGAAATTACACATAAAACACTTCTGCTGAGTACTAAATATGATGATTATTTCAAGGGAGAGCACTTCGGAGATTCTTTGACCTAAGAGTTGACCTATCCTTTCCCTTTTTTACTATCATATTTAGTTCAAAGAACAGCAACAACTGACTATTCATACCTGAATATATGGCAGGTATTTTCTTGAAAATGAATAAAGTAACCTGCCATAATAAGGAAAATTAATGTTACTAATTGTTGCTAGTGATAACACTAGAAATGTCAAGTGAAAGTTAGAATTTCTTTGGAAAAACATAACCTTCAATGTGAGCTCTATAGTTGCAATGCTTAAAGACTTTTTTCTTATGACATTGGTGGTGATATTAATGAATGTGACTTTTTGATACCCTATATAATAAAAGCTTAATATGCTAAGTGTCCGGTCATCCAGTCATCCATTCAACCAATCAAAGCATAATATGCTAATGAGATGCTAAGGGTGTTAATGAGATGCTAACCATTTGCTAGGATATGCACTGATCACCAGGGGACAGATGAATCAACTTGTAGGTGAGCTTGCTGCTGGGGTCTGGCTAATCAGGACTGAGCAAGATTGCTGGACATGCCCTGGAGCCCAACTTCCTGTGTCCCTACCTGGCCCCAATCATGCACCCATGGGGGTTCCTCAACCTGGCCTATGCCAGTTCACAATCTGGGACTCCTCGGGGATGTCGTAGAGCCGGTTTCAGCCTGATCCGCAGGCCAGACTGAGGGACCCCACTCATGCATGAATTTGTGCACCAGGCCACTAGTTATATAATAAAATCTGTCATCACTTAAAGAATCTGCATAGCTCAGTGAACTTTTATTTCTTAAATGCCCAATGAATAATGTTACAAAATCATGCATTGGTAAAAGATCTATACAAAGTGCAATATAAATCATTGGATTTAAACTTAATGAATATGAAATGTTCACTGTTAACTTTACAAATTCCACATTGCATTTAAATTTTAAGTAACTATTACTTGTCAAGTTTTGAAGAAGAATATGCACACTTATCTGAATAGGTTGTTAAAATACTCCTTCCTTTTCCAACTCTGTGAAGCTGTGTTTTTTTAATATACTTCAGCCAAAAAATATTTCACAATAGATTGAATACAGAAACAAATACGAGAACCTACTTGTCTTCTCTTAAGCCAGATAAAGAGATTTTCAACACTGTAAAAAAGTTCTTCTTAGTAAAGTTTTGGTTTTAAACAAAAGAATTAGTATTATATAAAAATAGGGTGTTTATGTTCGAATGTAATTGGCTTGTTATTGTTATTTTTCATTAAATAATAAATACTTCTAAAACCTTATAGAATATTATAGAATAAGATATTTAAATGTTTCAATTTGTTATTGGTGGAGAGGAAAACTTTACAACAATTCTTCTAGAACATAGAAGATTTTGTATATAGCATAAAGACATTTAAAAATGAATGACACAATTTTCAATAATTTCCAGATATGAAGAAAATATTTTTGTTTTATAATTCAATTATTATACATTATGGGCCAAAATATGAAAAGACTATTAAAATTTTTATTACAGGGTTCTTACATCTACAGCAAACTATTGTTGGGTAATTTATAATGGGGATAAAATACCAGTTAGAAAAGTTTCTCTCCATGATGAAATAAAGAGAAAGCAACTATTTTATGAAAAACCCTCTATAATTTATAGTGGAGACAACTAAGTAAAAATCTAGAAACTGAAGATACTTCTGTTTGTTTTTGGCTTTTGTCAATTTTATTGCCTTTAGCTTTCTTTTCTACTACTCAAAGATCTCAAGGAGATTTTCATGTTTTATTTTAAGTAGAAATTTGTTGAAGCCTAAAGCATTTGAGACACATTTACAATTATGTTGAACTTTGAGTTTCATTGTAATGTCACTGAGGCTATTTTGTCAGGCAATATTACGTTTCAGTTTACTAAGTCGCATCTTCATATCATACCAACCAGTGCTTGCTATACTTAATATTTTTGTGACACATTGCCCTTTTCAAAGTTTGTCCACAAATATTGCTTTACTTGAAAAAAGGTATTCAAGAAAGATTTAAGATTTTAAACCTAAATTTTAAACCTTTATATATATATATATATATATATATATATATATATATATATATATATAATCTTTTAAAATTGTAAGATTTTACTATATTTTTGTATTATTTTAAATATATACTAGTAAATAAAAATGTTCCATTTTCAAAGTGGATAGTGTCAATATTGTTATCCTGAAAGCAATGAGATAACCATTGATTTTCCTATTTCCTCAGATAAATTTACAAAGAAAAATGAGAGTTACTGGTGTAATTACCCAAGGAGCCAAGAGGATTGGAAGCCCAGAATATATAAAATCCTACAAAATTGCCTATAGTAATGATGGAAAGACTTGGACAATGTACAAAGTGAAAGGCACCAATGAAGACATGGTAAGAATGAGTTAACATAGTTAATGTAAAAGTCAAATTCCATTAGTAGTCATTGCTTACCAAATGAATAATAGGTCTTCAGCAGAAGCTTTATGTTGTTGCAAATAAATTTATGATATTTTAATAAATATCAGACTAGTGGGCTGACAGGGTAAAGAGTTATTCCAAGTTATAAATGCACACCAGCTAACATTTAAGACTTTCACTGATTTTAATTGAGAATTTTATAATTACTTTATCACAAGGTTAACATTATTGGCATGATAATTTTTATTTTAATAATAATCAATTTTCAATTCCACTGTATTGCTTTGACAGATTAGCACTGTCCATAATGAAATAACTATAGTTCAAAATTGTTATTTGTAAATAAAAACATTATTTGAAAAGTAAAGCACACATATAGAAAAGATATATGCTTTTATGTATTTCATATTGGGAGAAAAAATTTTATTTAGCAAAACAAAACTATTTTAGTAATCCATTTTTATTGAGAGAGAGAGAGAGAGAGAGAGAGAGAGAGAGAGAGAGAGAAAAGAAAGAAAGAAAGAAAGAAAGAAAGAAAGAAAGAAAGAAAGAAAGAAAGAAAGAAAGGAAGGAAGGAAGGAAGGAAGGAAGGAAGGAAGGAAGGAAGGAAGGAAGGAAGGAAGGAAGGAAGGAAGGAAGGAAGGAAGGAAGAAAACAAAACATCAATTTGTTGTTCCACTTACTTATGCATTCATTGGTTGATTCTTGCATGCCACCCTGGCCAGATATTGAACCTGTTACCTTGGCATATTGGGATGACACTCTAACCAATTGAGCTACCCAGCCAGGACTATAGAATAAAATATTTTAGAGAAAATAAATATTCAAGGTCTCTTTTGCTTTTTCCCAATTTTAATGAACTTTTATTATTATTTTTTTAATTTCACGACTTCAGCTCATTTTATTTAAAGACAAGTCATTAGACTAGACTTAACAAATTATAGTAATATTTTTTAATTACCTTCTCAAATAAATTTAAATAAATTTATCTTTTTAACAGGTCATGTAAAATAACAATGAGGTTAAAAGCTTTTAAAATAACATGCTTAATCCTTAATTTTAGAAGGAAATAGTTTTTCCACATATATAAAGAATTATGAGTCTCCTATCCAATGATCTGGGACTGATTGGTAAGATGTAATCTTAGGAATCAGACCTTAAAGCATCATTAGTCTGATCATAGCATTAGAGAGACTGAGAGAACAGGAAGCACAGGAAAGACTAGTTCCTAAAGAAAAAGAAAAAAAGAAAAGAAAAAAAATTATCTAAGTAGTAAAATGGACAGGCTAGATTAAGTTGAAAGGCTTAAGTGACCATTTTTCAAAGAAAGAGAGAAGCATTCCCCTGGTTCTGAAGGACTGACCTTAAAATTGACAATAACCTCATAACAGAGTAGAGGTTATAACTTAGGCTACATTGGTTAATAACATTAATTCGTATTTTAGTTCTAGGTTTTATGTATTCAACTGATGGCAAGGTGCTTCCTAAATGCTCCATATCCCCAAATTATTTAATTTCATTTTGGAAAGATTATGTTGGGTATGATACAAGATCAATGTATAAAAATAGGTAAAGGAACTGTTACAATTAATAATTACAATTCTATATCCTCTCTTTACACAGGTGTTTCATGGAAATGTTGATAACAACACACCCTATGCTAACTCTTTCACACCCCCCATAAAAGCTCAGTATGTAAGACTTTATCCCCAAGTTTGTCGAAGACACTGTACTTTGAGAATGGAACTTCTTGGATGTGAACTATCAGGTGAGTTCCATACTATCTATTTTAGTTTTTTCTTTAAAGAAAAAAAAAATGGTGTTTAGTCTACTAGTATAATTTTTCAACACCCATAGATATTCATTCCTGCTATAACATGTAAAGGGCATGGTTCATTGATAAACGTATGTGTGTGTGTGTGTGTGTCTGTGTGTGTGTGTGTGTGTGTGTGAGAGAGAGAGAGAGAGAGAGAGAGAGAGAGAGAGAGAGAGAGAGAGAGAGAAAGAGAGAGAGAGAGAGAGAAACAATCTAAGACATGCTATATGAAACAACTAACGTAGAAGGAGCAGTGCATTTCTTTGAGTGGTCAATGAAAATACAACAAATTCTCACTGAGAACTTTTTGTTTCTTTAAATGTCTCATTGTTTTTAGTATTGACTATGATTTATGTTTTGTGACAAAAGTTCAATAAAAACTGAAATCTACCTGACTTTGTAAATTACAGTTACATTTAGACTATATGGAATAGAAAAGTAAGCTTTAGCTCTGTCCATCTACTGTAAGAACTTGGCTTTTGGGATTTTTTTTTTTAATGAAACATGTACATTTTATAATTTCTCCCAAGAAGACAATACTCCAATAACAAGATTGCTACTATAAACTCACTCTTGGACCATTCTTATCTATTAATACTATCCTGCCTATTGTATAAAAGTGGTTATCCAACTCAAAGATAACCCATCAAAGGTCTCAGGTTAAATAATCCTTACCTTCCAGGAGCATCAGTATTGGAAAGATGAAGACTTTATGTGCAGGTCTCACAGTGATCCCATTTAATATAGCTAGATTCTGATTTTGTCTAGGCATTTCATGGTGTTTCTTTTTGGTGGTTTTTCTTATTCTAGCATCAACATTTACATAAAATGTAATTGTTTTGTTCAAACAACTGCGTTTTGAAAAATGAAAAAAAAATAATGAGTACCTCACTTTTTAGAATAACCTTCAAGAAATAAAGATTTTTATCAAATGTACAATGATACTATTCAGTTAAACATAGGAGGACACATGCACTGGCCAGGTACTGTACACCAAAGCTTGCAGGTTCAATTCCCAGTCAGGGCACTTACCTAAGTTGCAGTCAACTGATCTATGTTTATCTCCCACCTCTCTCTCTCTCTCTCTCCTCTCTCTCTCTCTCTCTCTCTCTCTCTCTCTCTCTCTCTCTCTCTCTTTCATTTTCTACCCCTTTTCTTTTCTCTCTAAAATCAATAAATATATCCTTGGGCGAAAGTTAAAAAATAAGAGGACACATCCCTAGAACAGAATAACTGGGAACTATTTATGTATTTCAAGAGGTTGTGTATTGGTTATAATGTATACTTTATATTTATTTCCCTTCTTTGGTATATTTGTGATGTTGAGAAAAGGAATTATTTTTAAGCAAATAAAATTTACTATCAAAAAGCAATCAAACTTCTGCCCCACCAGTGTGTCTCAGTGGTTAAGCATTGACCCATGAATCAGGGGATCACTGGTTCGATTCCTGGTCAGGACACCTGTCTGGGTTGTGGACCCAGTAAGGGGGTGTGCAGGAGGCATCCAATAGTTAGATGTTTCTCTCTTGTCTATGTTTCCATTTCTATCCTTCTCACTTCCTCTCGCTCTAAAATCAATAAATACATATTTTAAAAGAAGCAGAGACATTTAGCTAGATGAGTGAATTAGTTTTAAGAATCATATTTCATATTATGGATGGGTGTCTTTTATGAAGCAGCCAACATATAGTTTTAGTGCTGTTAATTATCCTAACAGGGATGTTTTCCTTATTTTCTTAATTCAAACCAGCTTACCGACTACCAGTAAATCTGAGCAGAATCGTTGTACAGTGTTTTTATTGCATGTCACTATATCACCACCGGCTGGTGTCAACCCTAACTCATCCATCATAAAGCAATCAAGAAGAAGCCACAGATGATGAGGTTTGCTACAAGCCCCCGTGGTTTTTAGTTGCTTAACATCACCTTCCCCAACTTTTCAGCCATTTGATTTGTGAGGGTCAGTCTCTCATACATGGCACAGTTATACCCCTTAGGGGTGAATATATTTTACTTTCAAGTTTGACTTGAGGTTACACCTGACACTTTACAGATTTTTATGTTCTCAGAAAGAAGTCATACCCATCTCCCTCACCCACACATTGATTTGAAACTTGCATGCAGAGAATAATATCACTTGATGGATACTTTTAAAAGCTGTAAAATAATCAATTTCATTGTTAATATTTCATTTTGTGTAGGTGCTATTCATGCTGTTAAAAGAGTTAATTTATACTTATCAAATCATATGGATGAGAAAGAAAATTTGTGAGGCAAATTGGAAGAGGTTAACTGTTACTTTTGGAAATAAGCAGTAATATAATGTATGGAACTATTTCCCACAACCCAGTGCAACACTATAAAGCCTAAGACTGCCTTATTGTATTCAATAAACTGTTATAAGATCTCTCAGCCTGCCTAGAAGATCAGCAGCTAATCTTTTACCAGATACTTAAAAAAAACAACCCTAAATTATCTGAGAGACATATGATTTAAGATGTTTAGATTGAAATGGATCATGACTGTAATTAGGGGAGGAATAGTCATTCATTCATTCTCTGAACAAATTATTCAGACCTTCCTCTGGGCTAAGTACTAGACAATGGGTATGAAATGAATTCTATTACTGAGCAAAAATGGTCAAAATAAAGGTATCCCTTTTCTGTCAATATTTAAAATACTGTGTTATATCACAAAAAAGAAGAAACCAACAACCTTTCCTTTTTCCCTTGTATCTCTTCTGCAACACCATCAGTTAAAAAAAATAAAACAACAACAGAAAACTCCAGTAGCAGTGCAGGATGGGAATGAGGACTTGATGAGAGCAATAGAAGAACAAGTCAGAAATCTATAATTTAGGCAAAGCATGTTACCATAGAACTGCCTGAATATAAATGATATGTCATTAAGACTTTAGACCTTTCTATAATCCTTGAGATTTGGTCATAAAACTTTTCTCCTCCAGAATTTATATTTAGGAGTTACAGTTATTTTTATTATGGGACTTAAGAGTATATGTCTCCTATCCCTGAAACCCATCAAAACCAGTACTAAGACATAATTGGCTAACCCTCCATCACCATTTTGGTAATGTTTGCATAGAATAGGCATTTCCTAAAAGGTGGAGTTGAAGGTAGTCATGGAGGAGCCTCAGAAGGAAGAAGTAATCTACATGGACTAAGACAGAAAGCAGTTCACTGTAGTTAAGAACTATTTATCTATAATTGAAGAGTTCTAAGCCACTTCTCTTAGAGCTTTGACTTCATATTGGTTAGTATTAGAAACTGCAGCCAGTCATAAGCTATTTAGTACCCCCAGATATACTGATTTGTGGTCTTAACATTGTTATCTGTTTAAATGAGCTTTATGGAATAATAAAAAGAGCTAACAGTTCCTGAATGCTAGCTATATCCTGGCACTGTTTTTAAATGCTTTAAATTTATTAGCTAATTTCTTAAAATACTTCATCATTATCTTAAAGATGAGAAAACTGAGGCACACTGTGGTTAAATAATGGGTACAAGTCTACACAGATTGTGAGGGGCCAATAGAGTATGAGGAAATGGCACTGATTTTTCCTTTTATCTTGGATTTCTTTTAATAGCCTCATTGATCTAGGTCATATAGATAGATTAGATATAGATGTAGATATAGATATAGATATAGATATAGATATAGATATAGATACAGATACAGATATAGATATAGATGATATAGATATCAGAGAAAAAGGAAGAAGGATAGAGAGATAAATAGATCAGTGATGAGAGAGAATCATTAACTGGCTGCCTTCTGCACATCCTCCACTGAAAATCAAACCCCAGACCCTGCCATGTGCCCCAAGCTGGAATCAAACCATGACCTCCTGGTTCATAGATTGACACTCAAGCATTGAGAAACACAGGCCAGGCTTATTTTGGATTTCTTACTTTGTGGAAGCCTCAACCACTATCTAATATGATAACAGAATCATGCTTCCTATGGATGGCTTTATGGATGGAATTCTGTCACAATTATAGTTCAAGATTGGAAATTCATGTGCACACATATACACATATGCACATACACACATACACACACATATTTCAAGGACAAAGCCACAATTTGCACCATGTCAAACCTGAAACCATTTGTGACAAATATGAGAATCTTCCAAATTTACACAATACTAGAAGTTATTGAGTATGATCAAAATATAAAATGTATAAAAGGCTTGTTCCATAATGGCTTTTGCTAGAATTAGTTTACTTTCTTCAGTTATATATTTGTTTAAATCCTATTGTTGTACAATGCCTGGCACATGGTGTACTTTGAATAAATATTAGCTTATCACCTTCCAGAAGAAGCCATATTGGTGCTTTAAGACTATGTGGTAAGGTTAGCAAACATTTCTTGGAAAAGAAAATGCAGTCCAGTTCAAAATATACCATTGGAGCAGTTTGTGAAAATGACTTTGTACTGAGGGAATTTTCATTTGCAGCATTATGGAAGCAAATAAAAGAAAACCAAATATACTTTGTGAGAAAATGTTCCATTTTTAAAGGTGCAATGAAACTGTTGAAAACCCAGGAACAGTCATGAGGCTCTCATTAATGAGACAGGGGAGCCTTGTTTTCATTTTGCAGAATCATCTATCGCAGAAAAGTAATTTGAATTCTGTCTTGTTTTCAATTTTTCCAAAATATATTCAGACAAAATAACCTGAATTGGCTATTTTGTTTTTCGATTTTGTTCCAGATTTATTCCTGATTATAACCTTTTTTGAATTTAGATGCTCTCTCTTTGGGGGGATGAATAGCATTAGCCTTAATCTGCTCTTGCCTATCTAAAATGAAGACATAAAACTTGCAGGGTGATACATTCTTTTTCTCATGGAGCCCTTCTCATTTTCTTCCAGGCTGTTCTGAGCCTCTGGGGATGAAATCGGGGCATATACAGGACTTTCAGATCACTGCCTCCAGCATCTTCAGAACTCTCAATATGGACATGTTCACCTGGGAGCCAAGGAAAGCTCGGCTGGACAAGCAGGGCAAAGTGAATGCCTGGACCTCCGGCCACAACGACCAGTCACAGTGGTTACAGGTAACAGTTTTCAAAAACTCGCCCCCCCCCCCCCCCCCCCCCCCCCCCGTGCCTCTTCTTTTAAAAGATTTCCTGTTGATTAGATGATTGTTGGAGTCATTACCTTCGTACTAATGTAAATGTGCCTCTCTCTTTGGCTTACCTATATTGGTAAAACAAAAATCCCTCTGAAGCTATGTCTGTGTGCTATTTTTCTCCCAATGTTGATTTACAGATGCTACTGTCAGATTGATGCAGCAGGCTGTACCAGATCACACTATATATAGATCTACTGGATTGATCATGAGAGCATTTGCATTTTAACTCTCATCTATCTTCATTCTCATAGTCAATATTGGTTTGAAAGTGTCGCAGCAGGAATCTAAACACGTTGACATCAAACCACTGACCCACAGGTTGTTCCCATAGAATCATGAATCATGACTTATTAGCTTTATCCATGTGGTTGCTAAGCAATAGAGTAATTTGATTACATCTAAGAAAGCTAGGTAATAGAAGGAAAGCAGAGATGGTCTTTTCTTCACTTGGCCTTATTTCCCCTTATTCTCACAGCTAGAAACATTCTCCTTTTTCTTTCAGTTTCTCCAATCCCACACAGTCACAGTAACAAGTTAATAAGTATTGGTTATTTCAGCTGCTCTCCAATTTCTTCACTTCTCACCATCCCACTGCCACTGTCCTGCTCTAGGCTACCACCCTCTTTCACCCTGGGTTTTTGCAGCTTTCCAAGTTCAGTTCCTACTCTAAAAAGCTGTTTCCCAAGTTATAATAAGTACGATATTTTTCCAAAATACAATTTTGATTTTCTTACTCTCTTTTGAGAACTTTTCAACTGCTTTCTATTAGCCTCAGAATAAAGTACAGATTATTTAATATAACCTAAAAGTACGTGATTTGGCCCTATTCCTTCTTACCTTTTTAGTTTTTTCTAAAGTTGCTTCGGTTTTTCAAACCAAACACTATCACGCTCTTTCCATTTCTTTATGAATGTCCCCTTCCTAGAGGAAAAGAATGGGGAAAGAACACCTCTGCCCAGAGCACCCCAGCCTTTTATTGATATAATCCTTCAGCTACAATGGGGGTATACATTCCTCTGGTGCATCTACCAACTGCATCCCCTACCAGATATGGCTTAAGTTCTCTCCTGTACACTACTGAGTCATCTATAATTATCTCAGAGCATTATCACACTATTATTGAAATTGTGTTTTCATGCTTCATTGTTTGCTCCAGGAGGGATGGGACCACATCTGTCTGTTTCACTTTCTCAACGTGTTGTTCAGTACCTAACTAAATACCTGTCACAATACCTGACACATAGTAGGCATACAATAAATATTTGTTGGATGTATGAGTGGATAAAGGAATAGTTTGAAATACAATTGAATTTATTGATTTGGGCATACACAGCATAGAATTTTGATCCACAACTTAGAGGCCAACTGCTAATATCCTCAAATTTCAAAATAAATTTAAAAAGAAACTAAAAGCTCATACTAAAGCCCTGGCCTTTATAATAAAGGCTATTGTACATAGCCTTTATGAATTTTTAAGTTCTTAATTTGAGGAATCCACGGAAGCTTTTTTTTTTTATTTGTTAGAATTGAATGGTAAAGTTAAACTTGCTCTTTGTTGTTGTATAATATTTTTGAAATTGGAAATATTCCAGTCATGCCTCAGATTAAATGTCACTTTTGAGTCATAATGCCATGTGGAATAGTACAAAATATTTTACACTATAACCAACTCAGGCTGGTAGGCTATCCACATGAAGGAGTTGCCAATGGCACATTTCCTAAGAAAGATAAAAATAAACAAATATCTTTACATGAATCAGTGTGTACTCTTCAATGCAAACCTCCATCCATCACATTTTTAAGATGGCTTTTCAACAATCTTCTTAACGTCACTTGCATGCTGAAATTGATTTATTCTGTTGGTGACAGACTTTCTATCAACTCAAGGACCAGTTCTTGCAGTATACTATGTCTATTTTTTTGTTGTGTCAAAACATACTCAGAATCTTGAAGGCAGGGTAAATTGACATCTTTACTTATACTTATTTTTTTTTTTACGTCATGAAAGAAAAAGAATTGTTACTATTTTTAGTATTTTCTCATCAAAAGAATAGTATCTGTTCAACTATTGTATATATTGCCATGGTTATTAGTGTCTTTGTTGAAAATAAGATTAACATTTGTATAGATATTGTATAGGATGAGTTTGTTTTTAAGTTGTTTATATAGAGTCAATTTTTTATCCTTGAGGCTTCCAGATTTATAAAGTTTAATTCTGTTTTTTAACCTAAGATGCTTCAATTCTGGGTAATAGCTCTTCAGAAGAGAAACTATGTCTCTCATTTAAATTTCCCTCCTTTACTATCAATCTTCTGCTTATTGATTTTTAAGAACTTTCTTTCATATACTAACTATATATAACCCTCTAATGATGAGTTTCATTTCAATTTAATAAGTTTTTCCAAAATTTATTCAATAGATAATATCTGGAAATGCAATTGTTCTAAATGAAATGCCAAAATATTTTAAAGGAATTTTTATGTATACAAATATCATTTTAACATTTTCTTCTTATTATTACTCTATTGTTTCCAGTGCTTCTATAAGGGCAAAATAGCAGGTGCTTCGTAAGCAAGTGTTCTTGTATTACCTTTCAGAAGTGATCTTACCTAACTAATGAGCAGCTTCCATTATTGTTTATCATGAAATCATTATTCTATTCCTTTATAAACTTGGCAAAAATGTGTGAAGTACACAGGCAGCAGTAAATGCGAAGCATTTTTTCACACCTCTGAAAAACTGTTTCATCACTTTGATGTGTTTGCTGTTCTCCAATATTTTGAGCAAGAAGCCCCTACCAATGTGTTTTTCAAAAACACAGAGGTTTTGTTGGTATGTGTGTGTGTGATTTTTGTTTGTTTGTTTTTGCCAAATTGCAGTTTCAGCCTTGAAAAATAACTTACAACTAAGTTGAAAGATCATAAGCCGATTATTCTTGACTCTTAGTTGAACATTTCTAACATATGGCTTGGTTAAATGTTAATCCCTGTCATATAATAAAGTAACATTAAGGTATCAAAAAAGCAGACATTTTGTTGGGTTTGAAGTTTAATTAAATAAGACAAATGAGGAAGCACATAGAAGGTACCCAGCAACAGGTAGCTCCCTCCTTTCTCTTTCCTGTCGCTTGTGAAACCTTAGGGGAACATGGCCTGACACCACCAATTTTAATTAAGAGTGAAGGTCTGGTCTGCATATATATCCTTTGCTTCTTTCAAAAGGGAATTTTTAATAAAGCTATGAAAGATAAAGTAATATATTGTTAGATCAGTTGCAAACTGTAAGGAATGTTGATAAATTATATAAATTTGCATTGGCAAAAAAAAATTTTAGTTTTTTATATAGGTGAAATTATATTTTTCAAATTCTTTACCTGGGAATAGTAGTACTGTTATTAATAACGTAAAATGAGCATTATGTTACTTTGGCAATGTTCTCTACTGAAATAATATTCTTATTAGAATGTTTATGTGTTTTATGTCCATATTCAGTGGCTTTCAATACATTGAGTAAATTCCATTAGTATTTATACTCATATTACACAAACTGATTAAAATGCAGCATAAAATTATGGTGTTTAACAACATTCTATCAGCAAAAGGAGCACTAATGATGATAATCTTATTAATTGTGAAGAAATATTTTGGTATAGTAGATCCAAGTAAACAATGAGCACTCTCCAAGAATTAACTTGGATTGACTAACCAACTTTTAAAAAAAATCTTATGATTAAAGACTATAAATTATCTTACATTGAATATGCTCTGTGTATATTAATTGCCTTATAGGTGGTAATTCATTCTCTATAATTGAATCTATTTAAAGTTGGGTGTTTTTTTTCAGATTTCAAAAAGGGAAGCACAGTATAAATGAAAATGTCACAGTGTCACCTAGTAAATGACCTTTTGGTCTACTTCATGAAACAATTGCTAAGTTAAGATAGTCTGTATAGTATTTCATCCAGATTAGTAGAATTAATTGAGTTGCTAAAGTGCACATTTTAGTGTTGACCTTTATTAGAATTGCAGCTAACCCTTCACAACTTCATTTCAATACTAATTTTGTAGAAATGTGCAAAAAGCAATTGAATTTGAGTTTTCTAATTAAATAAGCCATATTTAATTTAGCCCATTTTAGATTTTTAAAGGGCATATGTTAACCATAAAATTCATAACTTCTTTAAAATCATTAATTTATCTTGTTCTCTGCACAATTTATTTGCATTAGAAATAAAGGGAAAACACAAGGATCAAGAGTCCCTCAATATGAAGAAATAGTCTGATTTCCAAGTCACTCTTCCAAAATTTCAAATAGAGTGAACATAAGCCTGCGTGAAGGCTTCAGTTATAAAGCTGTCTGAAAGAGATCAAGTAATAATGTTTTTATTTTGTGTGATTATGAAACAGTTTCCATCCTTCATAATGTTAATAAATGTTGAAGTCTATGAAGTGAATCAAAGGATGCCCATACTTTGTTTGTATCGTAAATCATCTTTAAATTTTTATAATTTTATGATATCAAAGGGAATCTCCACTATCCAAATACAAAAACAAAACAAACAAACAAACAAAACTAATGAACCAAGCAAAATTGAATAGGCTATTTATACAGAGAATACTTAGAGGACAAAGCATCAGGTTTTGAGGGCTGACAAATTACATTAATATTCTGGGACTCGGTTTTTTCTCTTTTTTCCTCTAAAATATAGATATTACAAAAATGATAACCTCCCAGGCTACCTTCCTTTTTTAAACTCTCATACCACTAGGATTCTAATATCTAAAGGATGATTGACCCAATTCAAAGTAATAAAAAAATTATCAGGACCTCCAACTAATTTCTGGTAGTTAACAACAACAACAAAAAATCATATAACTCAATGAGTGTTATAGATGTAGCCATATAACCTCAAAATTAATCTTT